AATCCCTGCAGTCACGAAAGCTTTAAATCAAAATTATAAATATTGTTATCGATGTATATTACATTTTAGATGGATTTAATTCGACACAATTAAAGCCTCGTTTAAATTCCAATCCATCGCGTATCCAGGCATGATGGGCGCTCTCCAAAAGGCCCCTCCCCTCCGAGACTTGGAGTTGAGTTAAACTAAACTATTTTCATTTTACCAGGTGAGGCCCTACTGAGCTGCTATATAGCTCTCTTTCAGAAGCAGCCTGGCTATCACAAATGAAGTGGCTCTTCACGTGAGATGTATCGCCTGAGCCACAAATACTCTGAACGCACGTTGATTTTTAACGGGGGGGGGGGGGGGGGGTGGGGGGTGTAACCGGAGGACCCGGAGAAACATCCACGCAACTACGGGGAGAGGGACATGCAGACTCGAAATATACAGGCATCGAACCCACAACCTCATGTATACCAGGCGAGGTAGTTAACATCTTGCGTCCGTGGCGCACTGCTGATCCTACCACGCGAGGCGTGGTGCCGCGGCTGCTTGTGTACCAGAAATATTGTTGAAGACACTGGTCTCTCGTTGTCTCATCAAGATGTATGTCTCATAAGAATTTCCCAATAATTTCTACAGGCCATTTTTAGAAAAAAAACGCATATTTATTTATTTATGTTGCTGACAAGTTTCCTTTATCAGTCATCTCTGTAATACATTGTGGTGACTATTGCAATTACTTATTTCAATTAAGCTTTATAAACAACAGTAATACTTTCGGCAAGCGGGCAGTACCAGTTGATCAAGCATCGTGGCCAGACACTCCAGGCCGAGTTTGCAGAAGCCACGTCAGTGATAATACCTTAAAGCCTGTGGATTTCATTTCAACATTTTCTGGAGCCTGCCGCTGTCAAAACCCTCTACATTCTTTCGCGGACCACCACGCAGTAATGAGGCAAGGAACCTTTGTTGAAAACATTCGCATCTGCAACAGTTCCACAGACCACCTTCCATGGCCTTGCAAAGCCTCCGACCAGTGGCTCACCGGTGGCCTGTGGACCACAGGTTCTAAAACCGCTCTCCTAATCCATCATAAAGACAGTTGAAGTTAGATGATAATAAAACAAAAAAACCTATCACCGACAAGCCGTCGTGCAGGCCTTCAATCAGCAGTGAATCGACGTAGAGGCATATTATTGTTCTAGATAATTATGAGGAGACCGGTGTTAGCTGTTGGACAAAACTTCATGTTGTCGACGTTAATTTTGGTCATCACTGAATGGCCTCGTAAATTGCCGGTGATTTACGTCAAGCGAGAACCGTTGCTTGCGGTCCGACAACGCTTCGTCCGGGGAGTCTGCCACTGGTCACTCCGTATCCAGAGCGCAAATGTCATCCCCGGCTATGCGCAACCGCAGCTATGGGCTATGACTACGGCAGCCAGACGTCGCCCCCCAGCTATGCGCTACTACAGCTGTTTACTCCCACTGTGGGCTGGATGCCTCTGTTTACGTCAAACTCATTTCGTGATTTTTGTTCTCTTCTCTCTGCTGTTTTGGACACAAAGGTGTTTGTAGGACAGTGAGGAGGGTCGGCTGTATAAGATTACCGGCTAATTGCACGTTGTAGGATAATTGAGGGAGAGGTGGTGGGAATAGTGAGGAGATCGGGAGAGAAGCAACCCCATCGTGCCGCGTCCACCGCACGCCCGCCGCATTCCTGGGCGAAGGGGAACGGATTCCGATGCTACCGCCGCCACTGCTGCTGCCGCCGCCGCTTCCTCTGGGAGTGATGCACTTACGTAGAACTTCTTTCTCACCATACGTAGCCGCCCGTGCTAATCGGGGGTGCGGGTGAAGGACAACAAGCTAAATACAAAAAGCAGTCGTAAAGAAATACGTTTTCAATCTAGATGATGATGATGTAAAAGTGCACAGCTCCAGTGGTTTCCTAATATCGGAAGGAAGAGCGTTCCAGACGGCCGCAGAAGCGCATGTGTTCGATTTATGGAGATGTCCGATCAAAAAGGGAATACGGTCTCCATGTGTTCTTGTAGATGTACAGCACTTTTGTCACTCCACTGCTGGATGAAGTCTTGCCTACATAATTTTGGTCATTGAGGTTGTTTGACCATACTTCACCATGCTGGTCAGTGCAGGCTGTTGAAGGCCAGGGAGCGTAGATGTCGGAACATACAAGTAGAGTACAATGACGGATCCTGCTGCACTGCCATCCGCTTACCTGGCCGTGAACAATGCTTCTCTGTCCACATCTCAGACAATAGAGAAACGAGGCAAAACGTGTGTTCAAGGCAACGTAATGTTTAATACACGCTGGGAATAGCAGACGCATCTCAGCACCAAGCCATCTCATGGCACCAGCGCCAGGGCGACGCGACCACTGGCTCAGCTTGTACAAAGGTGAATGCACATAAAGGGCCACGTGAAGTGTCAAAGGCTGTCTGGCAGCAGGTCACGGGATGGACCGAGGTGTTGTGAGTTAACCGACTGAGATGCCTGGCAGGCAGATGCAGCACCTGCCATCCCAACCGTGCCTTCTCGCCGTGTTTCCTCCTCACGGCGCTCTGCCCATTGTAGGTATGTACGGAGAATTTTTTTCGCACCGTACGTAGCCAACCGTGCTAATCGGAGGTTCGGGAAGAGGAGGGAGCGATACTTATATTGTTGCGCGTGTCTCGCTCCCTCGTTTGTTGCCGGAGGGGCGGCTGCCTCCCAACTACCCAGTCTTTTGCGAGCGTCTTCAACGGAGACCGATCGTGACACCGCTGGTGCGTGTTCTCCACACCCCCCCCCCCCCCATGCGGCACAGCCTTAGGGGTGTCCACGTCAGGGTGGCGACCATCACGCCGCTGGGGAAATATTTTTATTTGTGCCGGGCGTGCGTCTCCAGGAGTACGAGACACGGGTCAGCGTCTCCGAGGTTCGGAGTTCCCACGGATGACACCTGAGCCCTGTGGCGGGGGCGTGTGGGAGTGGGGTGGTGGGAGTGGTGGGGTGGTGGGAGTGGGGTGGTGGGAGTGGGGTGGTGAGAGGGATGGAGCATAGGCGGGGTGCAGTGTGACGAGTTGATTAGAAATTGTCTCCCTTGTTATCTCCATCCATCAGTTTGCTTTCATCTTAATTTCCAATTGTGGTTAAAGTTTACCTTTTGAAATGTAAACAGCTTAACTTGGTTTCAGAGGGTGCTTTCTGTTTGTAAAAGTTGAACTATTTTTTATTTAAAACAAATAACATTAATCGGAATATTTTTCTCTCTCATTCAGTTACCCACTTGCTTTGTGAAAAAAAAAGACGTTTCGATGTCCCTGAAGAGTGAAGGCTTGTAAAAAAAAATAACCTCAATCGCCAGTGCCTCTAGAGCGATGAGCCATTGAAGAAAACCTCAGTGCTGTAGGCCATTCAAAATTAATATTATTGGCCCTCGCTACCAGCCTAGCCATTGGCACGATTAAATACACGGAAGATCTGCTGTGCCAACACATTCCAGAGACACGACAAACAGCCACTGCCCTTGCTGCTTTCCTGCCATCTCAGCCCCTTTTCCTCTTCCCAGTGTCTGGTTCGAGTAAAACCCCGACACGTGACCCGCCGTGCCCACCACAACCACGGCCCCCCTCGCCCTGTCGCTGTCTCGCCATCACCCTCGGATGTCTCCAATAGCGGCTCTTCCTATGCCACAGTCTCCCCCCCCCCCGCCCGCTCCCCACTCAGTGTCTCTTGGAAGAGTTTTTATTGTAACTTGAAACAAAACCGACGAGGACAGTTGGCTATGTAGGGTGCGAAAGAAGTTCAGCATACATACTGCATTGTCAGTGGTGCAGAAGCACAAGTTACATAAACAAAACCATTTGTAGACAACGCTCCGCTGTGAAGGAGGCCCATTGCCTGAAACGTGGTCGATTATAATTTATTATTCCTTTTCGGGCAGTGTAATTGGTCGAATATTATTTTTTGTTATTGAATATCATTCGTTTATTTTTTTGTAAAGGAAAGCCACACAGAGCCTCACGACGATCTTTTCTAGGAGGGTTCCACTTTTGGGATGTGCGGAGAGTGAATAAAAAAAAATATCTCTCATGATATATTGCTGGATGGAGGGCTTCCTATCCGCCGTGTCGGCCACGGGAGTTGTTTGACTATACTTCACCACGCTGACCAGCGTGGGCTTGTGACGAGTTTATTTCCAAGACGTGCTTAAACATGTAGCCACGCTTGATGGCGCACGTCTCTGATTCAGTACATTGGAGGTACAGGGTTGGTAGATCACGTGAGAGATGAGTGAAACTCCTAATGTATTTACAATCCCATTCGAGGGGGCCTTTGAGTGTTATTGCCTTGTAAGTTTGGGCTGTCCCCGGGTATTCTAGATTCCCTCGGTGCGCAAAACACCCTTTAAAATGGAACTGGAACTCGGTGAGACTTTTCTATACAGATACTTCTCAATCGCATGCAAATGCAAACTCCCTGTCGCACTTCTTCCCCAAGTTTCCTCATTGCCTTGTGACACCGTGGACCCATGCCCCGATCGAAGAGCCCCTTCACGACGTCGTGATAGTTTCACCGTAACCTCTTGCGTTTCTCGGTGCCACGCCGTCGTGGTTGATATTTAATCAAGCGGTAGTTGTAAACAGCGATTGTCCTTTAGATGTTTCTTGTCTTCTGGCATGGGAATGTAGAATTTTCACCTTTGGAGCAGGTCTGGTAGCAGAGATGAGTGCAGGCCCATACTTACTTGAGTGGAGGGGACCACTTAAACTTTGACTGAGTGAGACGCAAAATATAAAAAAACAAATCTAATTATTTTCAATGCTTCCTCTATCCACCCCGTGCTCAAAACTCTCCCATCCCTCTGTGGAGAATCATTAGGAGATTGCAAAAGAGCTGGATACAGCTCAACGCAGCCTCCCCCTCCTACCCCGTGACCGAGCCGCCCACAGACCCACCCAGCCACCCCGCCACCCATCACCGTGCACGCTCCATCACGTGCCTCCCAGACCCTACCCCCTGGCCCCGACCGACCAATTGGCCATCACGGCGGGGCGATTGGGTCAGGGGATAAATTGTGAAACGTATTTTGAAGTGGAGTGACCAAGGGCTGTTCCCCCCCAACCGTGCTGCATTCACTCGGCAGCCTCCACAGTGTGGCACAAAGACAAAGAGACACGCACAGGTGGGGACAAGGGACACGGACGGACACAGAGACAAAGGGGCACGGACAGAAACAGGGACCAGTGCAGGGATACACACAGGGACGGGTGACCAGACGATACAGGGAACAAGGAATCGGACAGATACAGGGACCAGACAGACACAGAGACGGGAACGGGTGAGCAGGCGGACACAGAGACAACGACACAGACAGAATCAGGGACCAGTGCAGGGATAGACTCAGGGACGGGCGACCAAACGGGAGCGCAGGACACAAGGAGTCGGGGCAGGTACGGGGACCGCATAGGGACGGATACAGGCAGGGCACGCGGGCGTTAGAGACAGGGATACGACGTGGTGGCCTCGGACGGGGCAGAGACACGAGGAGGAGGACGTGGACGGAGGCGCAGGTGGAGCAGGAGCCGCGGGAAGCAAACTCGCGACCGGAGGAGGTGAGAGAAGCGTTGCCCTTCCGCAGATCGCCCACCTCCTCCGTGCCACCTCCTCCGTGAGGATTTGTTGTTACGAGCTCCCGCCGTGTTGGGGAGACGCTCCGTACGCGGCTGAGGCTTAGTCATGCGTGGGGACGCAGTTGCGTGGGTTTCGTCGGATCGCGTTTTGTATGACCGAGCGGCGTTTGAAAGATTATTTTTTATTTGAGGCTGCGAAAATTTTTTATGGGTTTTTTTTGTGGTTCAAGGGATTGCTGACCGAGCGACAGTAAAGGTGACTTTGGAATGAATTGTTTAAAAGCAACGAGCGCCATTGACGTGTGAGGTTGCATTTTTGAACCCCTTGTGTGAGTGAATGAATGAAAGGGCTGATATTAAAGTTCTCTTTAATGAGCGCCACATTGTGGATGGCCTCTGCCATAGAGATGTGGAATGTCCACCCTTGTCTCAAGGTTACCGATAGTAGATGAGCATCGGCCCTTGCTCCGATGAGGAGGGAGGCCTCTTGACATGTTTGGCTTTTATAGATCTTAAGTGTATATGCAGCCATACAATTTTTGTTTTGTAGATGATTTATGTCAGCTTGGCAATCTTGTTCTTGATCACATAATGTACATATAGCAATATGTATTTTGATCGTGCAATGTCACGTACCAACATTTCATAGCTCCAATATGTAAGTGTTGTGGAACCGAGGTTCGATTCCCGGCCACGGTGAATGTCCACGACGAGGGATATCCCAACCGGTCCTGGACCCTCACCTGCTCACCAACCTGCGGTGACTGGGCGGGTGAAGTATGGTCAAACAAGCCTCGTGGCCGACACGGCTTGGGGAGGGTCTTCATTCAGCAGTGGATTGACAAAGAGGCCGTGAGTGCGTCAGTGTTGTTCAAGAATCCCATCTGTAAATGTATCGATGTCCTCACGGCTCGTGTACGTGTGCATGTTGAACTTCTTTCGTGCCGTACGTAGCCAACCGTGCGAATGGGAGGTGAGCGCGGGCGGGGGGTGGGAGGACGTATGTTTAAATGCAACCACAGTTAGAGGAAACAGTGTGATCGAGTTTACTTTCCCGTGATCGCCTCACTTATGCAGCGAGCAAGAGTGATTTTTTTTTTTGGGTTTTGAAGATTAACAAAAAAAAGGGTGGTGGTGGTGGTGGGGGGGGGGAGAGATTCTGCAGCCCGTGACTTTGGAGGCAGTGCGCTCCGCACGCCCGCATCACAAGCAAGCAGGATGTGAGCACGGGCAGTGTTTGTCCCCGCACTCTAGGGCGGCAGGGTACTCGACGAAACGTCGATGCCTCTGGCCGCTCGAGGCGCCAAACCGTCACCGTCCGCGCGAGCTGCGGCGTCTTCCTGTCACCTGCGGCCGACTTCGTCTTGTTCACGTCCGCGGCTGCCGGTGGCTCTTGGCGGCTCTTGCCGGCTCGGGGGGGGGGGGGGGGTGGTTACGGCCCCCCCCCCCCCCCCCCGGGGGAGGCCCCGAGAGCCGCGCCGCGTTTTCCCGACCGACCGATCGATCCGATCGGCAGCGAGTGTTGCCTCACGCCTCACACCGCCACCGCTGCCCCATGGCGACCCGCGGGGCACCGATTGCTCAACGGCAGGGAACACAGTTGGGGGGGGGGGGGGTGGGCTGAGGGGGGGGATTGGTGAGTTTGCGGCGGAGTCTTTTCTTAGCCCCCTTGCCCCCCCCTTGCCCCCCCCCACTCGCTCACTCCACAACTGCCGCTCCTCCTCTGCATCTGATTAGCGAACACGAGGCTGTGGCGTGGCGGTCACTGTGGCGCGGTTCGGGCTGCGGAGGGATGGGGAGAGGAGCGCGTTGAGTGTGCGCGTCCGTGTGTGTGCGCGTGTGTGTGTGTGGGTGTGGGTGTGTGTGCGTGTGTGTGTGTATGTATGTGTGTGTGCGTGTGTGTGGGTGGGTGCTCGGTTTCGTCAGCGGGCCGTGAAAAAGGCGTTTTTGTTGGCGGGCGTCGTGCGCGCCTCTCCGCGCTGCTCTTGTGGAGTTCGACTTCGCTGGGGCCAGGGGGTTCTTTTCAGAGTCGCTGTCGCGCCGCGTCACCCCCACCAACCAAACCGATGCCGACGCCGATGTTGACCAATCTTTATCAGCGTGGGGCTCTCTGGAAGCGATAAACATCCTGGCCCCGCCAGTGTTGGGCGTCGTGCCATGGACACGACGCGCTGCTTATTCACGTTTTCGCTTGGCAGCTTTTCGTCAATTCACCTGACCGGCCTCGGCATTCCGTGACGGTCTTCGCCTTCCCACCCCTCGCCACCCCTCCCGCAGAGCTGCCCGACACGGAGAGTGAGGCGTGAGCCGGGGGAAGAAGATCAGGAGGAGGGGAGGGGGTGTAAATTGAGCGAGTTGAGACGGCACGTGTCCACGCATCGTCGTCGTCGCCGGCTCTTTGCGTTATCGAAGTAACAAACAAAAACCAACCACCCCCCTCCTCCCGACGAGCCGTAAGAACGCGATTCGCGAAGAGCGCCGCACGGACGCGGTCCCGCTTCGGCAAGGGGACTCAGCAGCTCGCGGCGCCTGTCTCTCTCCCAACCATTGCTTGCTTGGCAAGCCGCGTAGCGCCGTTGCCACTTTGCAGGACGCTTTAATAACCGTGATGAAAATTACGCTGACAAAAATTGGCAAGGAAGCCGCGACGCGGGGCGCGCAGGAACGAGTTTCAAAGCGAAGCGAGCTCCCGCGGTGCGTTTGCCGTCTAAGTCACCCGGTCATAATCAGTGCGTTGGCAAGTTGTTTAATTTCTAATTTTGAGGATTTTATAATCCTTTCAATTGCACAATTTAATACGACTTCTGTCCTGGGCTTGCATTAGCAAGCGGTCTGATCGCGAAGTTAATGAATTTGGAAACTGTACTGGACCCGATTTTGTTTCTTTGCCGTGTGTTGTGTCCTCGGAGATCGGATGGACACGCTCACTCCACACTGATGATAGTCCAGTCCCTCCACTGGCCCCCAAACCAGTCTTGGATCAATCTTAAGATCGCACTCACCACGTCCAAGGTCATCCATGGACTCTCCCCTACCTACCTCTCCCCTCCCCATTCATCTCACTCTACTCCCCCTCTATGCACTCTTTGCTCCAGCAAACGAAAACTTTCTATCAAAGTTTCCAGTCAACCGTTAATCCGTGCGAAGTCATTCTCTTCTGTCTGCTGCTCCAATAAGTATTTTAACTGTCTTTCTCCAGCCACCTATGCCAAAATGTCCCTACCCTCGTTCAAGTCCAGGGTAAAGACCTTCCTCTTTCCCTCTGCCTATGACTGTCTCTTTAAAAAAAAGTTCAGCTTCCGTTATGCAGGATTCCCATGACCCACTGTTTCTGTACAGTGTCCTGAGCTGCGTCCGCACGTAGACAACGTATAAATCTTCACTCTACCTTAATCGGACACGTGCTCCAGACGAAATTCATATTCCCTGCCCGGTTCGCCGCGTTCCCTTCAACGGCCAGCGACTCACGTCCCCCATAGCGTGCGTGGCGCCCGTTCACCGCGCCGTTTGCTTCCTCAAACACCGCCTGCACTGTCACCATGTATGTGTCCCGCACCGCTTTCACCGAAACCGCCGGCGCCGTGTGTCCCGTACTCTCTGCGTCACGTGTCCCGTACTCTCTGCGTCACGTGTGCCGTACTCTCTGCAGCACATGCCCCGTACTCTGTCACGTGCCCAGTACTCTCTGCGCCACGTGCCCCGTACTGTGTGTCACGTGCCCCGTACTCTCTGCACCACGTGTACCGTACTCTCTGCAGCACATGCCCCGTACTCTCTGTCACGTGCCCCGTACTCTCTGTCACGTGCCCCGTACTCTGTCACGTGCCCCGTACTCTCTGCGCCACGTGCCCCGTACTCTGTGTCACGTGCTCCGTACTCTCTGCACCACGTGTACCGTACTCTCTGCAGCACATGCCCCGTACTCTCAGCAGCGGTTGCCCCGTACTCTGTGTCACGTGCGCCGTACTCTCTGCACCACGTGTACCGTACTCTCTGCGCCACATGCCCCGTACTCTCAGCAGCGGTTGGCCCGTACTCTCTGTGTCACGTGTCCCGTACTCTCTGCTCTGCGTGTCCCGCGGTCACGTTAATCACCGACGTCGCGTGAGCGTGACCCCCCTCGCGCCGCGCAGGCTGTTAGCGCCGAGGGTGGGGGGCGGTTTGGCAGAGCCGGCTCACGTTCGCCGCGGAGTGCGGCAGCGACGCGAGCGTCACGGGGCGGCGAGCGCCCCGCACCCGTTCCGACAAGTGCCGCTCTCGCTCCGGCAAAGGCCCCATTAGCTGTCCAAACAGCGCCCGCAGAAGAGCCTTTCCTTCCCCTCCAGATCCCGAGGCTCTGGCGTCGCGCCCTGACGGCCGGACGCACGTGCGACGCGCGGATACAGACGTATCGGAGGGCGCACGGTTGCATTACCAAGTTGGGGGGGGGGGGGTGGAAAGAAGAACATGAACATTTAAAAAAAAAGATAGAGACATCACCTTTTCCAGCAATATCTAGTGAGCGTAATCGCGTTAAATTTGCCGGCGACCTTGCGTTGCGGCGGTGAGGTCTCATCGGCGCTCGCGGGCTGGAGATGGCGGAGGGCGGCCGTGCCTCTTGACGCGGCCCCTTCTCCAGTGCACTTCTCTGGGGGACTACACCTCGCACTCTCAGCCGTTCGGATGGCAACCGCCGGGCTCCGTGCGTTTTGAGAATCTCTCGTTCGGTGAGAGGGTGCCCGTGGCGTAACCCCGAATGGTGTCAAATACGGTGCAATTGAGCGTTCGATGTGGGGTAATTGTAATCGTGAGCTGGTTGTTGAGTTTACAAGATCTGCCTCTCAATGACTTTTTTTTTGTATTCTGGGCTCAAAATGTAAGTTCGGTGACAGTGGATTCCATAAACTCTTCTAATTAATCCCATAATTCTCGCATGGCCATTCTCGTTATATTATTATTATTATCACCGCGGTATGCTTTTGTGCAAAATCCTGGCCATAAAA